AAGATGGCTTAGAAATAAAGGGACGGAGTAAAAAATTTAATATAGTCAAACAAAGAAACCGAAGTTCTCGAGAAAACGGAGACAATGAGTTTGGAGTAGGTCAGTGTATCGACTCTCGGGGTGGAGGAACAGGTACCGTCTCGACATTTCTTGGGATGGAGGATAGCAGCCTGACCAGATGACAACTTCATACAATATATTTCATGGTCACAGATTTGCTCCATGTATTCGACGACTACAGCAGCACTGGGAGTGAAAATCAGCGATGGACATGTCACTTACGTACGAGAAGAATAGCACTGAGTCGCTTCCGCACATCTAGCATTCTCAGACGTCACACGCGAACGGAAGCACACGGGAGGATTTGGCTGGAGTATGTTCCTCTTTCTCTTAACTGAGGGTAGTGGTAGCCTTTGAGCGGGTTTAAACCCCGGAATCCCACAGCATTGTACGCCCTTTTTGATGATACCACCAGACATTCGGTTGTTCCAGGAGATGACTTATCTCCTTTAAAGGGAATACCTACGAATACAGAAATTTTGGATGTTATATCAAAGCTAACTTGATATGGTTTCGCCACATTGTGTTCTTTGGTGGGTTCAAACTTGCAGCCAGCGTTTGCGTTGGATCGACAAATCAACTCCTTTAGAATCTCCACTAGTAGGGCAAGCTGAATGCCCTCCAAGAAAGCGAATTCGCACAGTGTGCAGTTTAACACACAACGGCATTGGTAAACAATGGCTGTAGAAATAGTGAACATCTTTATTTGCCTTTATTGTTTATCGATTCCAAAATTTCAACCGGATGTGGTGAATCCACTCTAGCGAGTCAAGTTTATCGAACCTTTGATGATATATCTGTTAATTTCCCTACTAACTGGCTTCAAGATATTGACCAACCACTGCACTAACTCATGATGCCATGCGGGTGGGCCCAAGCTCGGTTGCAGAGGTAGTTCTGGTCTGTGTGCCTTCGGAAGTTCATACAGTCCCGCGGTTAATGCTAGTTTGCTTGTCCAAGTTAGGTAGTGTTCCAACATGGTCGGAACTGTTGAAAAATAGGTAATCGAATTTGTGCGCTGATGCTTTAACAACGTTTTATATGTTCAAAAAGGAAAACGTTCAGATGGGTCTCGGAATACTGCACTGGATTAGCAAAATGCATCCGGTGATTTGTAGTCAGATTCCCACTAGATTAGGTGGAGCTGCTTCTCTACTTATATCTCACATTGTCAGGTAAACTGATCAGTAACGTCACATAGGGCTGACCCTAGGAGGATTTTTGACGTCTAACATGGCAGTTGAACCATGACAGAACTGTCACCTGCGATCACATTATCCTCACAGCGTAGGAATACGACATCGGTAGTGGCTGAAGAATGAATGTATACCCTTTCCGTATGGCAGTATCCGCCAGTACGTGTGACTTTCGAGCGAATTATCTATATCAGATTTGCTCGTAACAAAAAAATCGAATATATGAGTTCACCGCTTTCCTGTATTACTTCCGGGGCTGTGGATTGTGACGTGCATCTAGCTCAGACGTAAGGGTCAAGCCAACATTTGCGGTAAGTTCCTCAATGCGAACTATTTTCATGCATTAGTTTTTTTGTTCTCGATGTGCATAGGTTGTTTTCAGACTGATTACTCCTCAGCGTGTCAAATTGATCGATGAGAATCGCAGTCATCCACAACTCCGCAGTCACCGACACAAACCACCATATTCAGTCCCAGCTGTTATCTCTCTCATATTTTTCCTGTTCAGCTGGGTTTTCTCCAACAGCCTGGCATACGCTCGCACTTACAATAATGTAAGACTATGTGTGGAGGTGGGAAAAGGGACGGGGACGATCCATTTTCACTCGGTTAGTTCAGGTAGTGAAATCAGATGTAGGAGCTTGTCCTACATCTTAAGGTCGGTGAAAGGCCAACCAAATCTAGAATGAGACATCTTCAGTGATTACCAGAGAAGCGCATCGACAAGCACATCTGTGCGTGGAATCCGCTTTCCAGTTGAGATCAAATCAAGCAGTAGAGTTTTCCGATGTGAACATAATCAGCCAACCAAATGGTCGCTCCGAACGCCTGCGCCCAGAGTTGATGGTTATGGAGTGTGGATTAGCCTGGAATATCAACGCAGTTACGGCAGACCGCGCCACATCCCCTTGTTCGGATGACCGTTAAAGAATCAGCAGCGGTAAAGTTTATTAGTAGACCAAGGTCATGCTAGATTCCATTGATGGTTATTTGGTCATAAACGTCCGCAATAGTTTAGTGTCAGAGAGTCTCGGGATATTTGGAGAATGTTGAACTTTCCAAACTACCACTACCTAAGCTAATCAGGGACTAGATATAATATGCTACTCATAAGGTTGCTGGAAATTCGTCGACAGCCTACGACTGGTTTCGTCCTTCTTGGAGATCATCAGGTAGGCGCAATACCCGAGTTTTCGCCAACCTTATGTTATGCTTGCACGAAATAAGCGAAATATACTCATTTGAAAACATAAACGAGAGACACAGCTGGGTACTACGTAAGTCCCCCGCAAAACCAAATTTGTTTGCAAATGAGTGTATTTCGCTAATCATGGACTACTCAGTCTTACCTGAAATTTCAGACACTGAACGATCAGATTATCACTGGATCATGTTTTCGTTCAGGGAAATATCATTATCCAGTCAGTGGAAGTCCGCAGCCGAGTGAGGTAAAACTGTAACTTTACCGAACGTAATATTAATCTAATTCTGTAATTATACTACGTCGCTCTTAACTTTCGGCCATTTCCAGCTTGGATTTTGGTACTGTTATCTAGTTTATGCATCGTAATGTCAGTTCACGTGAACTGCGGTGCAACAGTGCACAACATCCCGGATAATGGCAACAGGCTAATCATGATACGTTCACACATTGATCACACAATCGATTATTTTGCATCGTACCCCACAGACCAAGTGTAGTGCTTTTCGGCAGCTGAAAGCTGAAATTTGGGTCCCTTAAGCCACTAACGCGGACGCGAAGACAGGAGCGACATGAACTGACTGGGCTGGAGGGGACAGCTGGCAGAAGAGAACCAAATATACCAAGTATTCAAGGGATAATAACAACGGTGATGGGCTGCATGTAAAAGGATTAGTATAGTCTGATAGTAGGGTATTCCCAGCACTTCCGTAGCTTACCGTGTTTTTTGGTGGGTTCACCCTGGTTTACTCCGCCTGTCCAGCTGCTTGTAGTATTGACATCAAGTTAAAAAATCCAGCAAACCATATTTTAGATTTCTTACTTTTCGAATTAACACATCTTTTGGAACTGGCCAGAACCAGCTAAACGCAACAAACCACCGCACTAAAATCGATCGCGCGATAGACACGTGATCACAACATGACTGCTACCCGGCCATTTTCTTGACCAGTTTCGTTTTGTTACTTTATCTTCACACTACTAGTTGGGAAACCCAATGTAGCAGATACCAATATTGACAACCTTCTACTGAATTGCCGAAAATGCCTAAAAACAGTGTTGCATTAGACTGATAGTTTCTAATACCATACGGTTTACCTAATAGAAAATCTTCATAGAGGTTTAAACATTCCACTGTATTTCAAACCGAGATCACGCGTGCAAACTCTGTATGACAAATTTGCTACTCATGGTTCCGGACCGTCTGGGCCATTTCTTAACTTGGTCTTGAGTTATCTAAATTTTTTAAAGTTTACTACATACTTAAGCTTACCTTCGTCTCCGAGTAGTTTATAATTAGTTTTATAGGGAGAAAAATGGTGTATAAAAATAGTCCAATGCACAAAATCACTCAATGAAACGCAATACATAATTTTTCCCGGTGAACCAAAGCATTTGATTCCGGTTGGGATGGACTGGCGTAAAATGCTTTCAAACTTTTCTGGAACTACATGTTTCAACTCATAAGAAACTCATGTGTCCTGGCAAACTGATTTACCTGAAGTCAAGTAAGGCCTGTCTTGTAGGCTCCTAACGAAGTTAGTCGCTCATCATTAGTTCTTCAGTTAAATTGCTTGGGTGCATTCTGTCTGCGGCTGGTGGAGCATACTGTGTAGTACTGGGTGTTGTAAAGTTCTCGGTAGAATGGGCCAGCCGTGCTAAGCGAACGACTGGTATGACTCCTTCGCTTAGGTTGGCTCAAAAGTTATCTGCCCTTTCCATAAAACCTTCCTATGTTAAAATCTGTAGATTGCTAAAAAAAGAGCTCCTACCCTGCGTCTATTATACCGTCATCTGTGTTTGCCCGCTCTGTCGCAGGTCACTAGACCGGTGGTGGACTGCGGTGAATGGTTCTCGTCCATCGAAGGGCTGAAGTGACTCAGTGGTGACTCACGTCACCTTTCATTTTTTGTGATGAGATTCGTGGAGCCACTGAGGCCTCCCCATCGTTACCTGTGAACTAGCGCTTAGATTATATGCAAACTAATCTAACAGAACCCTCGTGATATTTCCCCAACCCAAATCAACCTACTCCACCATAAACTATTAATTTTCAGTCTAGGATACGATAGAGGCCACGATGAAGAAGTTAGGACAACAGACCTCAACTATTCTTACTCAGCGGCTGGCCACATTTGATTGAAAATCAGTTTTGAAACTTTTTTCCAGTAATAGCAACCCTAGAACAAATTCCCTAACGACTGAATCTAGTCCTCTAGAAAAATAATATTAATAAATCAGTCTTCACAAATGTCTGTCAACTTCTGGTCAAATATTTTCTGATGGAGATTTTCTGTGCATTCATCCACATTGAAACCACGTGCGATAAAGCACTTAATGATCCCTTCTCAGACGCACTTGTTCTTTCCACGCCTTCGCTATCTCATTGTTGACTGGAAAACATTTAAGCGATTTGACATGCTTTTGGTTTTGTTGCCGAGTCTACATTGCCCATAAGGCTGGTAAATGTCATAACTCATGCTCAACCTAAACAGCGTCAAAATTCTTCAACCCTATTCAGAATTCCGCACAACCTAACTTACGAATCTTCACCAAGAATGAAAGTTGACAGAAGCAGCGCGTAAGTCTGAGAGGAAGACTCAAATATCTCATTATCCAGAGAATGTAAGGCCGTTTGATTAACAGCATCCTGTTTTTGATAAATAGAGCATATTTTGCGATTTGCGATAGATTTCGGGTCATATTTTTTACTGGCCTCCATCGAATCCCAAAATATAGCAATCAGTAGCTTGCACAGAGTAACCTTCTCCTTCAGCCTAGGTAGGTCTTCGTTCCTCGGACTTTGCAGACGCCTCAAACGTTATTATTGTTTGTCTGTCAATTCGCCACCTTAAAGACCGAATACCCGGTTCAAGTCAGTCCGTTGCGGTGATTTTTCGGTAGATCTCGTTGTCTGTTGAGCAATGTTAAAGTTGCCATTTACATCGCAGTTACCTGTTAATAATTAAATAATTAGGTCTTCTATCCACTAACTAATATGCCCAAAGCTTACGTTTGTTAACAAAAATGTTCGGACCATCCTGCTGAGTGATAAGACCTCCACTATTTCCCCTCTGGAAAGTGATGCCAGTGTTGAAAGAAGCCTAAAATCGTCTTCTATTCTCTTTATAACTCACCAGCATCGGAACAAAACACAAGTGATGATAAATTTACTAATGTGGACATAGTTAAGCAAGGTGATCTTTGTCAATGTTTGGATAAAGCAATGCATTTAATAAATGAACCAAAATGAATGCACAAGGTTGTTTCGTAGTGTACGAATTGAACCGATTTCGTGGTGGGCCGTGGTTTTACTCTGTAGCTCAGGAGCTATGTCTGATCGCTTTGTGGGTCAGGAACTTTATACCGGTCACCGATGTTCGATTGTTTGAGTTCTTTGGATTCTGGCTCCTCGTCCGCTTTGCTAAACCATATGCCGTAAGAGAAGTAGATTACCAAACCTGTAGGCGACGCAAAAGAGGGAGTAACCGTGTTAAGGAAATAAAATTTCTTCATAGATTAATTGCTTTTTTGAACAACAGGGAATATGTTTGAGACCGGCTTATTATGGTTCCTTGAGAGATCGACAGTTATCTTTTTGTCTCTGTCTGACTAGGTGAGATAGGCGGTGACCGCTAAAGAAAGACGGCATGGAGATGCTTTGGCTACCACACAGTTCTTCTGGAGAACCTCTGAAGGGCTAAGTTCTCCTCGCTGGTCAGTTCGCCGAACTTGGAAGTTGGATTGCAAACGATTCCTTACAAATCTAGGTGACTTTGTCAGTGAGGGGTTCAGTGTGTTAGCTCCTGGATCGGCTGCCTTGTTCTTGTGCCGTTTTTTAAAAAAAATCAGGAAAAAAGGAGGTTAGCGGATCATTTACTGTCCGTTTAGGGAACCCGATCATAGCGTGATTTCAAAGCAACGTTGGGTGTAAGATGAAAATATCCCTACTGTTACTTGTTACTGAAAGTTTATCAAAATTCCGACCGATAGCACAGGATTCGTATAAGAATGTACCCATTATTCTGGGTAGTTGGCTAATATCTATATGATGCATGAACAGCAAACAGCCACTGGCTTTGAGCAGACCGCAAACTACATATCAGGAACTGGTAAACAAGAAACCCAACGAGGCTTCTGCTAGAAAAAGAGCTCCTGAATACTGAAGTTTTCCGGTAACGACAAAATAGTCATCCAGGGCTCCACTTGTGTGATTGTATAAACATTGTAAGAGGTGTGCTTGGCCACCTGACAATTAATGAATAAATAAATAGATAATAAACTAAATAAATAATTAATATGTAGTAGAAAGATCCGACACTTGGGTGTGAGTTCTTTTTACTTTGCATCAGAATATAATTGCTCGATCTTCTTAACTGAATATTATACTCACACGGCGAGATCTACGGTGACACTGAAATGCTCGCTCAAATTATAAATATAAACCTAGATTTGCGAAGGAATTCACTCTGTGCTGAAAAGCCAAGAGACACTGCGGAAGTTCCACGTTTGTTGGGGACCACTGGTAGTGGCTATCTCATTAGTAGCCAAGTAGACTCCAGACCATAACCCTCCGGATGGTGGTGGAAGAACACACAGTTTGGCCATCAAAACGAGGCTTCTGCTAGAAAAAGAGCTCCTGAATACTGAAGTTTTCCGGTAACGACAAAATAGTCATCCAGGGCTCCACTTGTGTGATTGTATAAACATTGTAAGAGGTGTGCTTGGCCACCTGACAATTAATGAATAAATAAATAGATAATAAATTAAATAAATAATTAATATGGAGTAGAAAGATCCGACACTTGGGTGTGAGTTCTTTTTACTTTGCATCAGAATATAATTGCTCGATCTTCTTAACTGAATATTATACTCACACGGCGAGATCTACGGTGACACTGAAATCACCGCTCAAATTATAAATCTAAACCTAGATTTGCGAAGGAATTCACTCTGTGCTGAAAAGCCAAGAGACACTGCGGAAGTTCCACGTTTGTTGGGGACCACTGGTAGTGGCTATCTCATTAGTAGCCAAGTAGACTCCAGACCATAACCCTCCGGATGGTGGTGGAAGAACACACAGTTTGGCCATCAATGGTCGATTAGGATGTATACAACTATCCTGCCTTTCTTGTAGGTTTTCTCATGGTGGATCAAGCCAAGACAGCACGATTACGCATCTGTTGGTAGGAGTTGATCAGAACAATAAGTGCCATGACTGAATGACATCATCCGACATCCACGTCAAATGCCGATAGCATAAGACTTTGACGGCCTAAGCACATCGATTCCAATGTGCGTTTTATCGCTATTGTCAGTCGGCTAATCAGCATCCTAGCACACAGTTGTTTACAGAGATGGCTGGAGACCGATTAATCATCAATACCAACGGTACAATGCAGGCGCAATGCACACCAATAGTACCTAATACGGTGAAGAGAACACAGCGTCACATTAAGTTCACATAAATCAACTGAGCTGGAGCACCGTCCTAGATTCAACAGCCAGTACAAAGAGTAAGTCCAGGCATCAAATCTTGTTCACCAACACAACACCGAAAAGTGAACATATGGCCAGTGATAATCAGACTCCTGAAAGTCCCTACCAAAGGAGGGGGTGAAATTTTTAGTGAGTTCTTGAATTCTCCCCTATTCGGTCGATTACTTGATCACTTCCCCTAACCGGTTTGGTTCTCGGCGCCTTTAGTTACTGCTGAGCAGAATACAGATTTGCAAAAGGAACGACTAACAAGTTGTCTTATGATTTTCTTTCCAAACAACTTAAGTGTTCTTAGTGTTACTGGACT